ACTGTTCATTACCTCATCCATAAAACCCTCCCTGAGCTTGAAAACAGCAACCGAGTTTATTATCCACAGGCTTCTCTACCGTAAGATAAAACCTGATTCCTTTTAACTTTTGATTTTGACTCTATTTCCCCCAGCAGAGGGCTCCTAAATCCCCTCTGGTTTGTCCCCATTTTTATTAAGTGTGGTGATATACCGTTAGGATGCGTGCAGAGGTTACTTACCTCTCAGTGAAATCTGCAGGCAGGGCAGCTTCAGCCCGACCATGGAAAATGTCTCTGTACTCTTTAGCAGTTTGGGGATGTCCTTGCATTGCAAGATATCTGCAAGAGTTCCAGATATATCATGCAATACAGTAATGCCCAGTAAAAGGGGGGGGGGATCTCCTCCATGAGTCTCTCTGTAAGAGAAGCCTTTTCCCAAAGCTCCCCAGGTGATGTACTCTCAGATCTCATTGGCTAGGATTGGGCCACAGGCCAGGGGAATGGGACTGCCAAGATTGCCCGGACCAGTCACCATTCACGCCTCCATCCCAGCTCAGCAAGAAGACTCATTTCCTGAGCACCTACGTCGCTTTGTGGCGAGTGAGCCTTCAAACAAAATCAAGGCCCTGCTAGCAAGGATCAAGGGGAAAGAGCCGGCAAAGGCTGCCCTTAAGTGGGTAATCTGTGTTTGCCACAGGTGAGCAAAAATGGGAGCAACCTATTCTCCACGTAGTTCAAAATATTAATAACACAACAAAACAAGCCATTACAGAGAAGCCACTGTGAGAGCTGGCAGGCACACAAAAAAGAATACCATGTGGTCTGTGACCTGTCAAGCTGTCAATCAAGGTGGAGAGAAGGCACTTCCCATATCATTTCAAAATTGTACAGCAAGCGATAAGAGAGAGGCATGCACAGAGTGTTCTAGACGCACAGAGAAGGAACCCTTAGCCCAACCGAGGGGTGTGATTCCTGGGTAGAGGCCAAGTGGACCCACTGTACATGCTGAGGAGTTAGGCTAAGAAAACGAGACTTGGGAAGAACTATGAGGTATGTGAACCTTGATGTTTCTAATCTTTGTGTAATAGTTTATGTTTTATTATTATGGCTCATCTAAAGTTGATGAAATAGAAAATCCTTTCAAGCCCTGAGGGTGGTGTGCATTTCAAGGGTCATTTCCCATGAGTTCATTTTTTTCATATTTTGTATCTGGATGAAATCCATTTTATGATCAGTGAATTCCGTATTTAAACAAGGAAGCCACTCATCCAGTAGGAAAATGTGCGTGAGGGAGTGAAAATCAGTGCAGTGCAGATCATTATGGCTCTGGAAACAGGCTTGTTTTTAAGGGTTAGGAGAAAACTTTGGTAAGCTGGACTGAGGGGGAATCAGAATGAGTGGGAGGCTGTCACTTAGAATGGTTTTATTACTTTTACTAATGTGTATCCTAAGATAGGCCAGAAAAGAGTTGCTTATGAGGAATGCATGTTAAATAGATAAGAAGGGTTTCATTAGCACATTCACTGTCTCCCTAAAAGTGCTTTTTCCATGGCAAGAGACACTGGAAAGCAAGCTGTTTTTTCCTCCTGTATCTTTTTTTTTTTTACATGATTTACACTTTATTAGGAAAAATTTGCTTTAACAGATATAAACTTTAGCTTGGTCTCTGTTGAGTTTACTAGAGAATTATGAATATGTAAAGAATACATGCTTTTAAAATCTTTGAGATCCATCATTGGAGTTCTATATGCGTATTTTCATTTGAAATACAATCATCATCTTATAAATCAATAAGAAAAAGATAAACATTTCAACAACACCGAGGCAAACGTCATGGTCAGGCAATTTAGGGCAACAAATCATATAAAATAGGATGAGATTCCTTAATAAGAAAAGAAATGAAAGTTAAAGCAAAACATCACCAGTCAAACTGGCAAAATTTTTATAAAAAGATAAATCAATAAATAAAGCACTAATGCCCAGGGCTGGTGAACGTGGCAAAATAAGCACCAATATTTTATTCTGTGTCCAGAGATGGATGTGTAAAGATGTTTATTATAAAACTGTTTGTTTTCTTACAAAATCTTAAGTGTCCATTAATAGAGAACTGATTGATAAAATGATGGTATATTCATGCAATGAATACTACACATCTGTTTAAAAGAATGAGGTATTTGTATCTATATATATATGGATTCTTTAAAATCTCACAATATATTACATAAACAAAGCAAGGTACAGAACAGAATAATTTCTATATGTACATATATGGAAATATGTATTTGTGTTTTCTGGAAGGGTACATAGGAAACTGTTAGTGGAGTTTTGTGGTTATCTTCAGAGAAAAGGACTAGAGGTAAAGGATGGAAACTTTTACCTGACTTTGTACCTTTCTGTATGGTTTGAATCTGTGCAAGAATTGCTTTATTTTAAAATGTGAAATGCTTTTCTTTTTTTTAAATAATAAGTTACAACTTCATGGTTTGATATGTAAAGATATCTGCCCTATAAGAAGAGGAAGAGCAGGTACAGGATAATCAGAATGGTATGACCCTGTTCATGATTCTATTTAGACAGATCTAGATGTAAACCTATATAGTGTCTCTATTAAAAAGTCTCGAAGGAAATACCGTGAACTGTCATCGTGTGGCCACCTTAGACAATGGGAAGTGTTGAGATCGCAGGAATCTCCACTTTCTCTGTACTGTTTAATTTTGGACCGTGCTCATGGATGATCAGAAAGAAAAATACAAATTTTTCCAGTGGGTGGGAAAAATTAAAAAAAGGATATCCAGTCCTCCCTCCCCCTTTTGCATGAATCACTCCTGTCTGCTCTATGCAAAAACAAGGATTTGGCTCTGTCTCTCACCTGGCTCTTCTAAGCTTACTCTCGCCTATTTCCCTTTTAAATTTCACCTGCACCTTTGTAGTCAGAGTGGGATCAGTGAGAGCTCTCGCCTCTGATCCAACTTATCTACCCAGGTCTTGCCCAACTAGAAAAACTGGAAAATCAAAATCAAAACAGAACGTCCAAACAAGACACTGAAAACTAGCCGAACCTGCCAATGAAATCAATGTTTTAGTACCACTGGTGTGTGCACGGAGCCAGCAGCCAGCTGAAAGGAAAGGAGCCATGGGCTGGAGACCCAGACCCCCGTACCCCCACCTGGCACGTGCCCCCACAATTTGAACTTCATCATTTTTCTCATCTGCTTATCACATCTGTTGCCCTAAGTTAGAGGATGGTATGAGAATCTGGTGGGGCAGGAGTGCTATGGAAATGGAAGGTGATCAACCACACCACTTTGTAAGCCCTGGAGGATACAACTGCTGTCTTGGATTTGTTATGAATATTGCTGAGAAAATTAGGAGAACCTGAGATGTTCATTGACCCAAATATGCTCTGAATATATTAAGAAAATGCTGTGACAACCCAGTCTCTGCAATTGCTCTTTTCAATTAGTTTTCATCTCAGAATCTTAAAACACTTAAAAGTCACTTTCAGACTTATAACATGACTGCACAGTGATTCATGTGAATTGCTATTGGACCACCAATAGTACCTGTGTTAAGACATTTTCCAGCACTCCCACCACCATCCTTAATAAGTTTCTTGTTACTGGTGAGAGCCACTATTGTAGAAAGCAAAGGCAGCTCTGATGTGTCCCAGTGCTGGAGGAGAGCTTAGAAAAGAGAAACCTCAGTTGAAAGTACAAATCAGATTCCCACTTCATTCATGGAAACCGGAAGAGGAGACTGCGCAGCCCACACAAGGGGAAGTGGCTAAGCAGAGGATTCTAAAGCCGAGGACACCATTTAACCTATGGAGCAGCTCTCCTTTGCCACTTGTTTGAATCCAGTTATGATAGAACAACCCACATGCTGGCCCACAAAACAAGAAAGTAGCTTTTCTTTAAGTTGAGAACATAGTTAAACAGCAACGTTGATGACTGTCATTGGCTGGATTGTGTCCCCCAAAATAGATATGCTGAGGTAGTAGCCCCCAGACCTTAGAATGTGACCTTATTTGGAAATAGGGTCTTTGCAGATTTAACCAAGTTAAAACGAGGCCATTAGAGTGGGCCCTAATCCAAGATGACTGGTGTCCTTATAAAAAGGGGAAATTGGAAACAGAGATTCACTGAGAGGGAAGTGAAGACGCAGGGAGAACACAGTAAGAGGACAGAGTGGAGTGAAGCATCTAAAAGCCAAGGAATGCCCGAGGCGACCAGAAGCTGGGAGAGGCACGGGACAGATCCTTCTCCACTGCCTTCCGAGGGAGCCTGGCCCTGCCAACACCTTGGTTTTGGACTTCTGGCCTCCAGAAGTGATTGAATACATTTCTATTTATTAAATAGATACCCACCCAGTTTGGGATTCTTGCTATGGCAGCCCTAGGAAACGAATACTTCTACTCGAGTCACATGTCCTTAACAAGAGTCAGAAAAATGAAGGGTGAAACCTCAGCCTATGTCAGCACGGGATGTTTGTGTGACAAAATAAGTAACAGGAGTTCGTGGCTTTTCCATTGTGGTGGGTTTTCCTGGGAACATCCAGCCTGGAGGTAGTTCTCTTCCGGTGGAGTGCAGAGCCAGTAAACCCCTCCCTCCGTGGCAGGACAAGGAGGAGAGGTGCAGACCCCAGCCTAGCATACCGAGGTAACTTGGACCATTGTTTGGCTCCCCAAAGGGATAAATGCCCTGAGACCAGGCAGTGACCCTTCTCATGCCAGCCCTGGAGACAGGAATCAGGGGCAGGAGAGTTCACAAACAAAACCCAACTTGAAAATCTCCAGAATACCAGGAACTGGACCTTATCTGGCCAATGATTGTTCTTGTTTCATTTTTGTTTCGTTTCTTTTAATTTGAAACCATTTTTAGAGGGGGGAAATTAGCACTAAAATTAGAACCCCAGTGCATCATTTTTGTATGTATATTTGTGAAAATATAATGTATTCCTCTGTGTGTGTGTCATTCTATTATATGGGTTCAGTTCTCAACTCATCTTTTTATGTTTTAGAAGCCAGGAAGTAAAAACAAAAATCCTCAGATGCCATTCAAGAGAGGCTCCTGGACCAGGAGGTCCCCACGGGACATGATGGTAGGAAATTTCTCCTCTTTAGCTCTCTCCCCATGAGTGGGCAGACCTCCGGCCTGAAGCTGCCTTCCCAGGAAGGACTCCTGGGGTGGGAAGCCTGGGGGGACACCTCTCCACTGAGACCCAGCCTCACTCTGTGCCAGGTTGGACAACCTCAGCCCTGAGCCTTTGTTTTCATTCCTCCTAAAACCCAGCTCTTCTCTTTTGTCCAAAGAGTAGGCCAGGGTGGAAGGACAGGAAGGGCTGACATCAGAGAGGATCCTAGTAAACAATGTTACAAATTTAGGGTAATTTCCCCTATTTACCTCATCCTAAAAATAAAAAAAAAGAAGACTTCTTTTGTCAAAATAAAAAACATGTGAAAAGTGCAGGATTTGTTGTTGTTTTGAAGAATTTGAACAGTGAGGTGTTTTCCCTGGGACTCTGTTTCAAAATCAACAAATTGACACCTGCCTGAGAAAGGAAAAATGGCGTCAGCCCTGTCATCATCCTTCCCGAGCAGCGGTGCTCCCCAGGGAAGGGGAAAGCGGCGCCCCCAAACTTCTGACTGAACAATACAATACTTCAGGGCCTGCCTGGCGTCACCACCCCAGGTGTCAGGAGGGGAAGGAAGAAAGGTCAAGTTGTTTGTACGTTTGGTTGTCTTACTACCACTGGGCTGGTGAAGTTGTTTTTCTGAGACCTTCTTATTCATCTGGCTTTTAAATACTTACGAGGATGCCTTTTTTCTTTTTCTTTTTTTTTTTTTTCCCCTCCTGAAGGGTAAGAGAGAAGCAAACTTTCCAGTGTTAACTGTCACGGATTTTTCCTCTGCTGTACAATGGAGTGGCGGCAAGGCAGTTCTAAAACGTGTGATTTATTTATAAACATATCTGGAAATATTTTTAAAATAAAAGATGCCAAGGGTGGAGCTGGGTCATAGCCAAGTCATGAGAAGTGAGATGTTTATTCTGGAGGTCAGCATTCGCACCCTCCCACAGGTAGTTTTAAAGTAATTCAGGGTCAAGTGGAAACATTCTGATTCTCCTTACCTTTAGTTTTAGATTCCAGAGGCTATGGATTCTGGCTTGTTGGAAAGCTGATCTGAGTGACTCGGTGCTTTAAATACAATCCTGTTTTGTAGTTTCTTTCTGAAACGAATGCTGACCTGACTGAATTTAAAAACAGCTTCCGCAGTTGCCGTCCCCAAGGCCTCACCTTGTGTTTGCCTTGTTCTCAGGCTTGGGACACAGGCAGACTGTGGAAGAGCCTGCAGGGGACCCACAGAGGATGAGGAAGTTATTAACATGACTAAACACGCCCTTCCCAGGTTCAGTCTGCCACCTTTCTGTTCTCTCTATTCTGTCCTTTCTGTTCCATTCTCAGTGGGGCACGTTTCTGCAGTTGATTCAAGTAGGGAATAGGGAGAGGATGTTTGGTCAAAGGGCATCCGATGGGAACAGGAGAATCAAGGAGAGGAAATAGAGGCCAGAGATAAAGAAGAGCTAGGAGAAGAGAAATCAATAGAAACAAAGATGATGAATAATACCAGGAACTAACAGACAGAGAGCAAAATGAAAGAGGAGTGAGAGGCGTGAGACATGGAGATTGTCCTGTGGAGAGCAACAATTCAGAAATAGAAAAATGTGAGAAACCTGAAAACAAACAAACCTAGAAGCCCATACAAGAAAGGAAAGAAGCAAATGGAAGTAAGAAAAAGAAGCCCAAACAGGAAGGACATCTGAATGAGAAATGCGATTGAGGGAAGGAACAGAGAAGCCTTTGTGGCGTGTTTGTAGATTAGAGGGAAGCGACAGAACAGAGGGAGGGAATCCAGGAGTGTTTATTCCTTGCACCTGGCAAACAAAAAAATCATTATTTTTTTAATCATGGAAGAAATACCTCTAAGAGCCCTGGGCCTTTCATGCTATCGGCCTGTCTCTCACTCATCTTAATCCCTTAGGACTCTTTTAAAAGCGTGAGGAAACCCAGCATGAGGAAAAACACATTTCCAACCAGAAGACTTTTATATGAAGTTTACTTTAGAAAGATAAGTTCTCACAGCCCTTAGAGTTCAAGCTCGGTTATCTGTTCTCAGTGGTAAATGATCTTGAGCTTTTTAGTCCCTATAATTCTGTGGGTAAATGACAAAAACAGCTTGGTCCCTTAAAAATATGGATTAAAAAATGAAATGAAATAAATATTTGCATGACTCCCATTTCAGAAGGCTGCTTTACTATTAATAAGTTAAGAGGTTGCCTTGTAAGTTTAAATAATTGAACAAATGGAGTAATAAAAATATCTAAGTAAAGCATAAGCCGATAAACACAGCACATACCCAGGAGAAGTAAAGATTAGTTATTTCGTTACTGCAAATTGCTGTTACTAAATATTATGATAAATTACCAAAAAGATGCCTCTCCACCCCCTTCTATAATTTCAGGTTATTAATTTTATTCACATGCAAGTAATTCTTTCCTTGTATACCCCTCTTGTCCTGTTTCTGTAATGAGGAAATAGGTGGGGGGGGGGAATATAATAGATAAAATGCTCAAATTGGGGCTGAAGCAAATGAAAAAAGATATCAGAAACAAATAACATTATCAGCTTTTAGCCCCATAATAAACTCTTATTTATTTAGACCCTATTAATTTGGAATTTATAATAATTTGATTGGGATCTGGGCAGAAATTTTCCTTCATTTAGCAAACACTGTTGCTCAGTGGTACAGAAGAATGATATAAACATGATTACAAGGGGAATGTTTGAAATAACATTTTTGAGCACTTCAAGCAATGTCTTGCATATGAATAATTAATATAATAATACATATCATTCTTGTCCAATAATTATCTGGTAATTCAGAAGGAATTTGTCAGGTCACCCTGCAGAGTAGGGAGGTGTCGGTTTAACACTAAATAGCAAGGCACTTAACTTTTTCAGCCTTTATTTTTCTTACCTGTCAAATTAGTTGGATAATCCCAACTCTGCCTAGTTCGAGGGGTTTTTATGAGCATGAAATGAGAGAATGGATGGGAATCCATTTTTGAAATCCATGAGGTATTAGTAAAATCTATTTTATTTAAAATGAAATTAAAATTCATACTTCTCAGTAATTCAATATGACCTTCTCTTCAATAGTCCACCCCAGTGAGGTTTTTATGCTTTATGTAGCTTCAGTGAAAGCAGGTTCCCTAATAAATTGTGGTATGTGTGTGTGTGTCACACACATATATGCACATATGGGTATAAACATTTCTCTCTCTTTCCGCTCCCCCTACCCCTAACAGATCTTTGAAGTCATGCATGATATTCTGAGTACACTAAATACACTTAGCATGGAACAACTGAAGAAAATTATTGTGTGTACTTGCAAGAGTCTAGGATATTGGGGTCTGACAGGCTTGGGTTCATATGCAGGCTCTTCCACATAGATGAGTTAGCAAAACAATCATTGCTCTGAGCCCTGTTTCTTTGTCTGTAAAAATGGATAATACCAATTGTATGGGGCTTTTTATAAAGACTACGAGAGATAATGGACATAGCACAGTGACAGGCACAGAGCAAGCACTCCAAAGTGATGATTATTAATATGAAATACTTCTCACTTCAAATTCCTGACTCCTATTACAACGTAGTTTTCAAAATATAAAACCAAATAGAGTGTCATAATCATAGTGTCCTGTGCAGTTTTTTTGTTTTGTTTTGTTTTTACACATAGATAACTTATATTTTTTGGTGAAATGTATGTTGCAAAGTATTAAAATAGTATTTCTTCAAATCTAAGACACCTGCTTTTTCACATTTAAGTGTTTCGGAAAATCAGAATGAGCTTTACAATTATTGCCAAAATAAACATGTCAACTGCTAGGGAAAGGAGTTGCTAATGGGAATTGTCATTTGCTTGTAAATCTTTCAGAATACAGAATTTTCAAAGCCAGGAGATGGTGGTGTTTATGCTTCACTCAAATGCAAAACATCTGTCTGTCACATTCTTTCAAGAGAAGCTGTTGAACTTCCTACAAGATATAATCAATTAAAGAAAAAAAATTAAGATTCTAAATCGGGGTGCTACTGAGGTCAAACTCACAAGCACTTTTACAAAAGTGTCACCTCTGCTTGGCAACAACTGCCAATGTTCTAGTGAATCCAAGAAATCTTTAGAATATGAGTGAAGATGGTGGAATTATACAAATAAAATGTATGCTGTTTGTTGGTAAAAAAATTGTGTATATTCAATGTTGCATTTCTTTTTCTCTAGCTTTTAATTAGATAAATTAATCTTCTTCTAATTGACAGACTCAGCAGAAAAAGCTAGCTTTTAAAGTCACCTAAAAACAGGGGTAAATATAATTAAATTTACACTTAAGATGTCTGTACTTTATGTATGTTATACTTCAATAAAACATTTAAAAATTACAAATAAATATGCCTGTGTATTTAGCTTGAATAACTGAAGATTTAACAAAGTGTATCTAGTTACAGCTTTTGAACTATTGGGCTGTCGGAAAAGTCATGACATTTTTTTTCTGTTTTTTGTTGCAAAATGTGTCATGACTTTTCCGACAACCCAATAGTAAGTATAACCATTTACAGAACATACCTTCTCAGCTAAGTCCTAGGTACATTATACATGTTATTTAATAATAGTAGTAGTAGTAATAATAATAATAATAATAATAATAATAATAATTAGCACTTATTAAACATTTACTATGTGCCAGATACTTGTAAAGGGTGTACTAACTATCTCATTTAATTTTTAAAAGACCTCACAAAGTGGGTATTATTATCCCTGACCATATGAGGTGGGTAATAGTATCCTTTAAAAACGAGGAAACTCATATACAGTAATCCCCCCTTATCTACAGGGGATACGTTCCAAGTCCCCCAGTGGATGCCTAAAACCTCCCTTAGTACTGAACCCTATATATTTACTACATTTTTTCCTACATTTACTTACCTATGATAAAGTTTAATTTATAAATTAGGCAACTTCACAGATAGAAGATTTGTTCTTTCTGTAGATCTTAGCAACCCCAGCATATGATATTTTTTTCTTTCCTGATTGAGTTGAGAACTTGCACCTTTTCGGCATCATTATGAAGTAAAACAAGGGTTACTTGAACACGAGCACTGCGACACAATAATTGACCTGAGAACTGAGAGGACTACTAAGTGACTAACGGTCTGGGAGTTTATACGCCTGGAAATGCTGGACAAAAGGATGATTCACGTCCCGGGCGGGATGGAGCAGGACACAGCAAGATTTCATCACGCTGCTCAGAATGACTAGCATTGTAAAACATATGAATTATTTATATCTGGAACTTTCCATTTAATATTTTCAGACCACAGTTGACTGTGGGTAACTGAAACCACGGAAAGTGAAACCGTGGATAAGGGGGGACTGCTGTATAAGGCACACATAAGGTGGTTATTTACATGGGGTAACAGAGCTGGAATGGGGTCAGGAGAAAATGAAACGCTGGGCAATATGACTCCAAAGACTTCCATTTATGCACTTCTTCACAGTTCCCCTCAAAGATGCACACAGTAGGTTCTGTTGTCCTTATTTCACAGGTGAGCACCCTAAAACTCAGAGAGGGTACATACCTTGACTGTATCACACAGCTTATAAAGGAGAGCGATAAGATTCATACCTGGGCCTGTCTCTAAAGATCCCGTTGCCTCCTCTGTACCAGACAATGCAATGCCTTTCTTAAGGAGGACATACATGTTCTTCAGACTTGGTTTTCTTAAGATCACATTACAAGATAGCCTAAAAGTGAGGCTAGGGTTGGGGCAAGTGGGGGAGGGGAGAGAGAGGGAGAGCAACTCTTAGAACTTCAGGGAGTTGCCATTGATGTCTTGCATCCTGGCGCTCCAGAAACTGGAATTTTCCTCTTAAAGCGGCCTTCTCTAGTCACTCTGACTATGGGTATAGTTGCCAGTGAAATTTAGTTCACATCCATCAGGATATCATGCCAGGAAGTTTCTCTAACTTGGAAATGTACTTTCCTTTCTCCCCATCCCCTTCCTAGTTTGCCTCTATACACCTGTCCCCCACCCCCTTAAGAGAAAAAACAAAAAAACTATCAGGGACATTAGGAAGTACTATATCTCTCAAACATAGGAATGATGAAGACAAAGGCAGTCACCGTTGTCTTGCTCAGAGAGGGCCTGACCAGTGGGTGCCACGCTGTGCTCCTGGATGTCAGCCTGGAGGTAATGCCTATTCTAGCTTCCTCTGTGACTTGTCTTTCTTTTGTGAATTAGTACTAAACCTTTCAGATGCCAATTTTTTAAAAGCTGGTTTCAACGCTAATTTATTTTGGGCACTTCAACGGGCTGCAGTTTTCTCTATTAGGAATTAAAAATTACGATGGGGGTACCTCCATTGCCTGTGAAAAAAAGCTTCATTTCTCCCCACCCTGAAGACATTCACAGTAGTGACTTAGGAACTGACAGAGAGGGAACATTGAATATCAAAGTACTATTTTGGCAGTTCTTGCATTTCGGAAGCCCTGCACTACTTAATAGCTTGAGAAATTTTGAAATAATTCTCTAAATCTTGGGTTCTAGAGACAAAAGGGAAACAGATATTGGAACAATTTTATACAAATTGCCTGTCTTTTAAAGGCGCTAACAAGACTATTGTCATTTCTACCCATAGGACCATGTTCTTATTTCCATATAGTTCACGCTCCATAAATGTCCCTAGTAAGAGCATATGTTATAAAAATAGTACTTGCAGGTCAGACCGAAACAACAAAAATTAAAACTTTTTATTTTATTTTAGTGAGACCTCTCATTAATAACCTTTAGAAGTAAAAGATTTAAAAACCAGAGACTTTCACAGTCCATGTGTTTTGAATGTTTGTCTTTTTACAGAGTGTGTCATTTTTTTCTTTGTGTTCAATTTCCTTTTCAGCTGTTACATAGTGACATGTTCAGCACCTTCAGCCACAGAAGAAGGCTGAAAAAGAACACAATCAGCCCCTGTGGATTCTGGTTATGGGTCTGCACCTCAGCACCTGTTAACGCAAAACTCTGCAGATGCCAGGGTTCCAAGCTCCAACCTCCACTCACAAGTGAAGGGGCTGGAGAGGAGGTAGGGTGAAGAAATTATTTTTAATTAAAGAGATGAATCTAAAAGATCATCCACCCACCGTAAGTCCTTCATCTAGTCACTAGACAGAGAGGCTCGACTGCACTCAGGTCCAGTGTCGGTTTAATAAGGAGGGTCAATTTTTGACAACCTGTATGGAGTCTAAGTATCCAGAAGCAGAACTCAACTCTTAGGCAGGCCTCTTTTTTTTAGAAAAGGAATCTGCAGAGCATTGTGGAACATGAAGTACTTGCCTGTCAGTAAGGGCCTCCCTCCCTTGCCAGTTACACCAAGCTGTGTAATGCTGTGTTTACAGATTTCTGCATTCTACAGCACTGCGTTCAAACGCCTGCCTTGCCACTTACTAGCCCTGTGATGGAGGGAAAGTTTCTTACCCGCCCTAAGCCTCATTTCTGTCACTTCCTTATAGGGTGTTGTAAGGGCCAAAGCATGTAGAGCCTCTAGCTCAGCGCCTGGCACATAACCTGTGCTAACAAATTATTGAAATGCGTGATGGGGTTCAGAGCAGGCCGCCCCAAGATGAGCCACTCTGGTTGGCAGATTCTTTCCAGCTAACAATTACTTTTATTACTCAGGTCATTTTTAACTGTGTGATTTGTATGTTGTGATAAGACAGTTTACCAAACAACTCACAGCACTTTGAGGTTTCATGGGTAGCGGGAAGCTCCAAGTTCTGCCCTGGGAAAAGGTACTTTCTCAGCTTCCCATTGAGGAGTTTAGGGGATAATTTGGCCTCTCATACCCTCCAGGCACTGACCCTCATCCATGGGACTCTGGGAAATGCAAAAGGGCAGGAGGGAGCCAGCTCCCTGCTGAGGACAAGGAAGCCCCAGCTCCACCCTGCGTCTTCAGCCTACCTCTGGCTCTCGGGCCCAGGACTGTGTGTGGACCAGGAGAGCGGCTGGCAGCTGTGGTGACTGTCTGTGTGCGAAGGCACCCGGCTGGGAGTGGGCGGCATCAATAGTTACCTCCAGGACAGTGTCCAGCACAGCTGATATGGGTTGCTTCACTCCAGGTCTGGAAGGCCACACCCTTTAGTTCAAGTACGGAAGTGGTGCCCAAAGTAAACATCAAGACCCAGCAAGGAGGCCCCCCAAGTCCCTTCCCAGGCTGACTCAGGGATTTAGGCAGTTTCTCCCCACCCACTGGCATTCAGGCTACAATGAGAACTCAAAGAATGGGGCCTTCCTTCCTTCCTTCTGGGATTGCAGGCTGAGGGTCAGCAATGGCCTCAGGGAATTATAAACCTTTTGGAGAATGAAATCCCAGGCCAGGGCTGAAAACAGACAATTCTGTGGAAATCTATTCAATTCTCAGAGCGCCTGCAGAGCTCTGTTCTTAGCTCCTGCTGCAGAGCGAGGAGCCTGGCAGCGGCCCTGACACCACCCTCAACCCTTTCCTCTCTTCCATGGAGCCTACCGAGAACCTTCTTCATGTTTAAACATCAATAGGAAGAAGACCAACAACCCCAGAGAAGAATGGACCAGGACATTGTATCAGCCCTGCTTCTCCAGAGAAACAGAACCAACAGAGTATATATACAGAGGGTGCCAAAAAAAAGTATACACATTTTAAGAAATGAAAACTATATTAAAATTGTAATACTTAACATATACTATTAACAAAAGATGAATACAAGTCACATTTGACTTCTGCAATTACAAGAGATGCTCAAACTGGTTACCATCAGCGTCCAGACACTTGTGATTATAGCGAACTACTGCTTGAGCAACATTGGCTGAAGTGTCTACCTGTATACTTTTTTTGGCAACCCCAGTGTGTGTATGTGTGTGTGTGTGTGTGTGTGTGTGTATATATATATATATATATATATATATATATATATATATATATATATATATGAGAGAGAGAGAGAGATTTATTATGAAGGATTAGCTCACATGGTTATGGAGACTGAGAATTCCCTCGATCCGTCATCTCCACACTGAAGATCCAGGAAAACTGGTGGCATAATTCAGTCCAAATCTGAAGACCTGAGAACCAAGGGAGTCAGTGGTGCAAATCTCAGTCCCAGGTCAGGAGAAG